TGTTTAATTGTTGTTACTTTTGGTAAGATTTTCTTTCTTCCCTCCATGGGTCAGAAAATAAAATAAATAAAATCACTCGGGAGCTGACTGCTGTAACAACGAAGGTGTATTATTTTACATACACAGGAGTTAGTACACTCTGCAACTCACCTCTTTTCCTCTACCTGGTCTGCTTTTATTCTCTTAAGGTACTAGACAGAGGTTGGCGCCAGAGTCTTACTTTATCTTCAATTCATCCGTTTTGCCACTTCAAAACCAGTTTAGGTTAGTTTTGGGGTGACTACTGTCCTCCAAATAAGGAGTTTTTTTCCAGCTACTCAGTTATCAATCCCTCCTGCTTTCTCATGACCTCCCTTCACCCTCACTCTGTCTAGTATTCTCAATCTCATTATAATATAATTTCTTGCTTGTTTGTTTCATTAAAGTATGAAAAAGATAAATGTAATAAAATTATTCACATACGCAGGTGCATATATGTACGCATATTAAAACTTGTGAACATTTTGCTTTCAAGTAACTCTATGCACCTTGTTTCTTATCATTCAGTTTCATTCGGTTTCTACAATTTCTTCTACAAAGTAATAGCCGACTTCCTCTTAACTTGCGTGTAGTTAGCAGTTGCCATGGTGAGCACTTCCTACCTAAGCTTGCTTGTACAAATGTTAACGTTTTAAAACTTACAGACAACGCGTGCAATGTTCATGGCTCATAACAAATATGTACAAAGTAGGTCTTTAAAATGTTTTTTACTCCAACATTGCTAATGGCACAATTACAGGAAGGAACACTTAATCGTATTTTTTTTAAATTCTCTGTATTGTAGAGCACAATGTTCAAAGGTGATGTCAAGATAAGGCAAGCTTTTTAAAGGTTTATGCAATAAATGGTCATTAGATGAAACACAGTACATCCTAAAGAATTAAAACATTTTAAATTGTCTTTGTAATTTTAATTTGTAAACAGGATATCAATATATAAGAAAAAATAAATTTATAAAATAAAATGTTTGATTCATACATAATGCAACTAAATATGTAAGTTAATTTTACATTATCTCACAGTGTCTCCATTCCTCACTTCCAGACTTCACAAAGCTAAGTTATTACTGTTACTTGTACGGGCATGGTAAAGGTTTAGAAAATCTACTGTAGGCCTACCTTTTCTGGAATAGAGTAAGCCACATGGATGCCTTCGGGCAAGTCTGGTACGGGACCGGAGGCAGCCTGCAACTCCTCTTCTGTGACCTCTGAAACCAGCTCTATGCCTGTTGAATATAATGCAAATTTCTACTGTTGCATGGTTGTACTTCCCAGCAGAATCACCTTACTATTTAGGCTCAGTATAATGGGTATTGGACTATACAGCTGTCCCATGCCTTTGATTCAGTAAATATGGCTGAAAATCCAAATGATCAAAAGTGTGGTATTAAGTGTATTAAGCAATAAGCTCAGCCTCTGCAAAATGATTGTCAGCCATGTTAGTACATGCAAAGGTACAAGTAAAGGTTTATTCCATGCTAAAATGAGAAGAAAAGAAACACAACGTTTCAGCTGTGGAGCCTTTGCAGCCTACACACGCTGATGCAGCTACCTACTTGAACATGTTAGTACATGTCCAACATAAATATCCAGACCAACTTATTAGCAGTTCTTCATGAAGGCTATCTTAATGAAGAGATGTAGAGCAGATCAGGGTAAATACATTAACAAGAAAGGAAAGAAAAAGGAAGAAAGAGAGAAGAAGGGAATCATCATCATTTGTGGTAGGAGAAATGATAGGACTACAAGTGTGTTTTCCTCTTTAGCAGACTGGAGATCAGATCCAGGTGACCTGTTAACTGGAATAAATCTTTACTCTTCATAAATGGGTTTACTCTATTATTCATCCACACAGCACCGGGAGGAAACCCACGAGAGCACAGGAAGAACATACAATCTCCATGCAGACAGCACCACAGTGATTGATCCCAGGGCCCAAGCACCATGAGGCAGCAGTGCTAGCCACTGTGCCACCATGCTGTCTCGTATCTATGGAAAGTATAATTCCCTGTGTTATGGCATACACAATCTCAATATCTCCTATCACACCTGTTTACTGGGTGGAGCTAACTGAGTGGCTCTGTGGCTAAGAATCTGCGTCTGTGACTGGAAGGTTGCCGGTTCAAATCCCGCGGCCGGCAGAGGAATCCTACTCTGTTGGGCCCCTGAGCAAGGCCCTTAACCCCAACTGTTCCAGGGGCGCCGTACAATGGCAGACCCTGCGCTCTGACCCCAAGCTTCTCTCCCTGTCCGTGTGTCTGTGTCTCCTTGGAGAAAAGCTGGGGTATGCGAAAAGACGAATTCCTAATGCAAGCAATTGTATAGGGCTAATAAAGAAACATTATAACATTGTTGTTACATTATTATGCTTGGTGTCAGCAAAGGTCCCAGCTTGACTCCTGGCAGAGGCGGGGAGTTTAATTTGTCACATTTGGAATATGGAAATCGGTTCTACTTCATTTGTTAGCATCCTCTTAGAGTTTTAGTCCAGAGCAGGATCATTTTAATAGGATGATGGGTTCCCTCTTTGCCCTTTAAGGTCTTGTTTTTGTCAGGCTTATATAAAAAGAGTATTTTTCCTATGTATAAACCGTGTGTCTATGACACAGTGCGGAGCTGATCAGCTAACTGAGAATGTGTCAGGATGTTTGGTAATTAAGCTGTGAATATGTCCATTCAAATTCATGGGCAGAGCCAAACAAAACACAGACTTGTTTGTGCAATCATGTGAATATTTGGGATTTCCATCATTCAACTTTGCCCCAAACTGTAATTTCTATGGGGCATTCTCAAAATCAAATTATAGCAGGCAAAACAAGTTCCAGTGGCATATCTATCTCTCAAATCCAGGTCATCAACAAGAAAATTCACTGTGCAAGGAACTCAGAATTCTGCTGGATTTGTTGCAAGTAGAGAGGTATTCCTCCTCTTGCAACAATTTCAAGTATCTGAACACAGAAAAGAGTGAGACAACACTATGTTGTTTTTATAAGCTTTGATACTTGAATGCAGTTTGTGTGCAAACATGTTTGATAATGAAGTCATAATTTTTGAGGAAGTGAGTTGACAGACGAAGCCATTACAAGTATATGGCATTTTAAGTTCAGGTAGAGAAGTAGAGAAATGTGGTAATTTGGTGATTATACTTACAAAAAATATTGCAATTATATACTTTTTGTATTCTAGAAAATAATGATGCATTGTCTAATTAAGAAAACGAAGCACTGACTGAGCAAATAACACTATCTCCACAGTCCTGGTCTAATATGAACACAACATGAAATTGGTCAGAGGCCATTTCCTTACCCCACTCATTGTCCTCATGAACCACCTGCTCCTCTTCCACCACCACTTCCTGTTTGGGTCTTTCTGCCTCTTTCTTCTGCAGGAACACAAGGCATGACGTTATTATGGGAAATCCCTCAACTTAAACGTCAGTAGCGGTTGTAGGTGTGGAAAAGAGAAGTGGAATTATTATTTTTTTATGTTCACTGCAGCAAAAACGCATTCAAAAATTATCCTGTTACTTTTTCTCGAGCAACAACAGCCTGTGACCAAACAAACAAACAAACAAACAAACAAACAAACAAACAAACAAACAAACAAACAAACAAACAAACAAGAAGTTTCTTCAGGGATTCATGAATTTTACATGTAGTGTTACAGGCTGTGAGACGAGGTGAGCTGTAATCAGCAAACTAGATTGTGTAGCTGCAGCCAGATCAAAAAGGATGACCCAAGTCAGAAGCAACAACTGCCCTGACCGGCCTCCACTTTAGTTGTACCACTGTAATCCTAACATACTGAGAGGTCCTCATTGCTCTGCTGAAAGATTTACACTTCTGCACTGTCTTGTAGAGGAAACAAAATGTTGGCTCAAGGACTTCAATGCTTCAGCAGTGCAATAGTCAGCATTAAGTTCACCATAATGTCTCAATTTTTGCTGCATTTCATTACATCTGTCAGGGCAACATGGCATTCATCATTTTCATATTTTTAAAACAGTTATATGACAAATTTCTTTGCTATGGTTCGGAATCAGTCTTTTCTTTTAGCTTTAACATTGCCTGCTTTAATGCAAAAGTCTTAGGTTTTTTATTTTGACTTTGGAGTGTGGATTTCAAGCACTATCGTCCATAAAGGTTGGATGATAGAATGTTCACAGCTCTTCTTTCCGAGTGCCTAATTACTACTATGTGCCTAAATGCCAGTAAGACCAAAACAAATTAACCAATTGTCCCAATACTTCTACTCCTTGAAAATAAAAAAGGATGAACACTATTAGTTTGTTTCATTGACCCAAGAGGTTAGAACTGAAATGACTGTTAATTAAAAAAGGAACCATATTGTTTTTGGCAGCAGAAATGATGTAATCAGCCCTCACTGCCAACTAAATATTTAAATGCATGTGGCTGTTGACTTCTCAATGCAGAGCTTCACAATGATTGCATCTTCAGACCTATTATGCCACTTTTTAGAGGATCATCATCGATAATGTACATTTATATTTATATTGTCCAGGCAGTGAAAATTAAGAAAAAATATATCCACACTAGCTTTCTGTATCGGGACATCTGTGTGTAATGTCTCTGCCAATCTATTTCACGGAATCAAAATCCATCTAGCAAATAGCTGGACAGATTTATTTATCACTTCCATTAAAGGAACCATATAACATTTCATGTTGCTTTATTGTGTAGATAAACTGCTACAAAATAGTGTATTTTTAAATTGTGGATTAAAAAAAACTTACACTGTATTCCACTTGCTGATTTCTGCAGTGACTGTCACTACATTGGGGGTTCGCCTTCATAGCCATTGTGGGAAAGAAATCCTGCATGGCATTATAGCCCAAGTAGTAACTGACTGTCCCAAAGCCCAAGAGATACCTGAGAAATACAATACAAAGATATATAGTTATAAAAACACAAGGGTGCACAAAATAATATCTAAGCCAAATCAACTACCATTCTTCAATCAAATCTACTTCTATAGCATAATGGTATAAAAGGTAAACTAACGTAGCATCCAGGAAGCAGATGGTAGTGAATATCTGCATCATAATACACTTAATAAACAGGCAGCAAAAATTCTAAACGCATTTTATATACCCGGCTTAATTTTTTTATGTTTTGTACTTCAGAAAACCGTAGAAAAAAAATGAATAAACCCAATACACTTCCGATAAGAGCTGAATATTTACTTGTGGTAATGCTGCTTCTATTTCAGTCAAGAATCCTTCATTAGGAGGTCTCTGATGAAGGGCTCTTGACATTGAATCAGCGACATCCTCTTTGTAATAAAACACTGAACTTGTTCAAGCAAGCGTATTCTTCCATTTCTTTCTTTTTTCCCCGTAGTTTTAAAAGATATTGCTTGTCAGTTGCAAAAAGGAATGAAAACATTGAGATAGAAAATATAAGAATTCTGTTCGCAGCACTACGCTGGGTCCAAGGGGGGGAAGAGAAGAGAAATGAAGCCTGCTGCTCACTTCAGTGTGTTCTGCACAAGGAGTCCAGCCACTACGCCCATGGTGGTGGGGAGACTGGCGGCACACACTCCATCTCTCTTCAGAGTCTTCTCATCTATGTTGGCAGCCACCACCAAAGGGGGAGCACACTGGAACAAAGTCAATCCATCGGCATGAAAATACTCGCTCACGCAAAACATACTCTAGAGCCTTCTAAGTTTCTTTAAACTGTAAGCCTATTCATTCAAATGGAGTGACCCTCATACACAGCACTCTATGTCAGTAACTGCACATTCATTGATTTCTAGTTTATAAACGGAGCTTAAGATATGTTTTTTACAAGAATTACAAGTACAATGGGGTCTGCGTAATTACCGCATGTGAAAATTAAAAGATTTAGCGCAATACACAGCGCCAGGGAAAACAAAGTACAAGTGTAAGCAAGACTGAAAAGACACTCCTTTGTAGGAATTTATATTTTATTCAATTATATCTACATTTTCCATCATAACGCCCCTTTCATACAGTATATTGAATTACTTTACGGGACATTTGTCCTTTCATTTCTTGTGCTATATGTCTTTTTAACTGTACTAATGTCATAAAGCTTATATTTCTTTCAACCTTTAACAAAATAATTGTTATTTTATAAATGTTTGCTTCAAAACATTTTTAATTACATACGGCAAAGCAAGCTGTTTCCCCAGGAATCATGAGCTGGATGTGTCCCGACACGGCATTCTCACTGACTCCAGACTCCATCCAGACTTGGCCAAGCTCATTACATGCCTGCAAAGCACACAAACATTAATGGCCCATTTTCACAAAAACGGCATTGTCGTCTGCTGAAGAAACAGTTCCTTCTCTTTAAAAATAAATCCCCTCAGGAATGGGCAGAGGAGATGTGAATAAAATGAATAAAATGTGGTGGTTTGCAGCTGTTCTATTACTTCAAAACAGCCGCAATACAGTAGTTTAATTCTATGAGCACATAGTCCAATATAGCTGATTATTTAAAGTGTAGGGGAGTATCAAAAAATATTCAAATTTTACTAACACTATGCAGACACTGCAAGTAACCACTTATTTATTATTTTACTTGTATTTTTTTTTTACTTATTAAGTATTTTTACTTGTATTTCTTCTAAATACAAGTAGCTCATTGGTCCAAGTACCATAAGAAGTAATTTCATAAAGGACTTATACTGAAAAAGTTTGTGGTCTGTTCATAAAATCATGACTCTCTGTGTAATGAAATGTATTCTACTCTCATACTTCAGTCCACTTAACTTACTTTCCATTAGGCTTCCAAGCTGAACTTTTAATAGGAGGAAACTTACAAGACTCCCATTAGAAAGAGATTGCTTCCGTTTTTTATAGGCTCTTGAGTAAATTGCACTCATGATCCATAAAAGCAATATACTGTATCTACTATGCCTGAAGGATCCATCACATATTGTTGATCTAGATAGACCTGCTCTGCTGTTAGATTTCCTTGTTTAGCTTTCCCAGGAGGTCTCTCATCCAGGTACTGGCCAGGCTCTCGCCTAATGAGCTTCAGCGGGTGTTATCTTCACCAATTTACACTTGTGAGTTTAAGTTTCAACAAATCAAACTGCAAACAAACTGGCAGCAACTTTTCCATTGGCGTTCTTCTGTCAGGTAGGATGTCCCAAAATGTCTGACTCTTGCTTTCTCTACTCCAAAATGACTTATTGACAAACACTTTTTTTTTACTCGACAACACCTCTGTGATCTATGATCCTAGGGTGTATGTTCTTATTGTCCTTCTTTTATATGTGTCAAAATAAAATACATAGACTGAATTATAGGAAATAAAAACATGCAGATTACAAGATATTTCTCCAGCTGCATCCCACTTGAATGCATCATATTTCATTCTGTATCTCATTCATTGAGTATGTACTGTATTCTGCACTATTTAAATGCCTATATTGCTCAAGAATGAAAGTTGCTATACTTCTGATGATTTCCTTTTGTGCACAAATGTTGCATTCCAAACATATTTCACATTAATTCATAATGGTAAATCCCGTGAAGCAGGAATACTCACTGTGTTGATTGCCATACGAGCTTCGAAGTTGTCCACACAACTCAGGAGAAGGTCTACAGGTTTCCCTTCTTCCATTCCCCCTTTACTGCAACAATTGCAATCATTACTATTGACAAGCCATTACCAAAACTAGTATATATACAGTACGGTACTTTACATTTCCTTGTGGTTACATAACAGAAAGTCTACAGCTCAGTGAGGACAGAAGTCAAGAGTTTAACAACATCTCTAAAGAAAGGAAACTGCATGAACACCTTTTTGAAATGTAAAAAATATTAGAGACATTGTTCAGTTCAGTTTTTTTGTTATAGGCACAAGTGCAACGAAATGATTATTTACATGTATGCTCTGATACAAAGACATTAATGTTGCATGTATGTTGAGATTTAATGTAGATAATATTTGCATACAATCTTTTACTTGTATTTTAAAGATTTTAATATGTTGATAATCACAATTTTGTGTACTCACTTTAACATGAGTATTATACATATTCCTTCTTAAGACTTTCAAGTTAGCCATGTCCAACTGCCTGCTATTTTATGTTTATATTTTCATGATACCAATATATCAATGTTGCCATATATAGTCGGTTAATTAGAAAAAATGTAAATCTTTCATTAAATGCAGTCTCCAAAGAAACAAGACCAAGAACATATAAAAAAATGTTAAAGATGTAAAAAAACAAACAGTTTCTTTAATGTATTGCAATAGAAATTGTTGTTAAGGTTATGAACAATCCCAACAGGCAAAATGACTCACTTTAGGTACATTGGGTTCAATTTCCAAAATTTCAGGATTTGAAAACCAAGGCTTCAGATTTCATATGCATTTGCAAATAGGAAAACACCACTTGAATGTCTTTTCTAGAAATCAAAAATGGTGGACCATGTGTAACACTGTACACAGCATTTAACATCTGTTCTGTCGTTAGAGTCAAAGAAGGACATTTTTTTTTAAATGTCAGAATTTGGATTGATAAGCTTCTTATGATGTTTAGGATATAACTGCATTTGTATTTTTTTTTATGAAACATTTATCCAGCACTCCTCCATATGTCTGTGGCTAAACAATTCAGAAGGAATGTAAGAATGTGATGCATGATTCATTACTGAAAAAGACATTGAATTAACGTCTTGTACAACATAAAGCAAATCCTCATTTCAGTAACATCAGGGAACCCACCTTATTCGCGCCATGAAATGTGCAAAATTGTCCACTGTGGTGATGTTGTAGTTATGAATCTCAAACTTCACATCTGGATTGATGTTTCTGTTAACAGATTTATGACAGTGTAACTAATTTTTGCATTGTAAAGTCAGATAATCAAATCAGCGTTACCATTTTTGACTTACATAACACAGGAGATGAATTTGCAGCTGCTTTAAGTTATATCAATGAAAACAAAATTAGGTCCTACAGTCATTCTTCTAGATAAAGATCACCAGTAAATAGAATGAATAAACTGTAAACATATCAGGATTTCTGATATGCTGATATTCAGACCTACTACCCGTGCCTTGTACTGAATTGATAAGCCCCTACTCAAATGTAACTTCTCTGTTCAATGCCTGTTTGTTAAGACTGTCATCAATACATCAATGACATTGGATATTGTTCCCAAATGCCTGAAGTGTAATATCACACCTGTAACAAAAAGTATATCTGATATGGACCCCGAAGTACTTAAAAACTACCGTTTTGCTTCTAATTTGTCTTTTCCAAGTACTCAGAGGCAGCTGAATTACAATCTCATTTTCCACTTTAAATAAGCTCTCTTACCCTTCTCATTTAGGGATTAGACAGTGACATATTACTGTAAAAGCCCTTGTTAAAACCATTAAAGATTTTTTTATGACATCAGATTCCAGCTTAATAATCTCTATAATATTAATTTCCTTCTAAATTTAGGTTCAGTTTTTGATACATTTATCAAGGCATCAACCTGGACCGTACAAAACATTGTCTACAGATCTCTGGTTCTACACTACACTTATATGGCTCCTGTTTGTCTATCTATGCCCAAATCTTTCATTTATTTTTTTAAATTTGATGTTGTCTCTCGTACTCGGGCTGTTTCCTAAAGGTACTGTGGTGGGATCTTAGCTTTTTTGTATTTAGATTTTGCCTGGTGCTCAGTTCATTCCCATCATTCAACATGGATTTCAGTGAGCATTACACCTTACAGAGTGATGTTAGAGTTTCTGCAGTTTATGGGTGTATGCATCCTTAAGATATGGATTCACCAGACCTTTCTTAAGCTAAACTGTGACATGACTGATGTTATGTTTAAAGAGCCTAGTAAATTTGGTGACTTCAGTGTTGTTGATAGTACTAAACTCAGATCTTCAATGGAAGTTAAAAACCCTGTTGGTACTTTTATTTCTTTGTTATCATTAGAGGCAGGTTAGAAACAACATAAGCGCTTAGTTAAAACGCTTTAATATATGCCTCTATGGGAAGTAGCTTTATTTAGTATATTCTGGCTAGTGCTGGGTGATAATTCGATAACAATAATTATCGCAATATAATTTTCCCCGATATAATTTTAACAAATGTTCGATAAATGTTCGATGTATGTTTATGCTTTGCGCATGATATGCGCATGCGCACAAAATACTGCACGAGGGCGCGTGCATGTGTGCACCGGGCAGCTAACGTGGTGATGTTTACCCACACGGTGGTGGCTGATAGGATTGTAGTTAGAGTGGAGAAATGAGCGACACTGAAGCAAATGTAGTGCTGCCAATGACCAGCTCAAAGAGTTGTTTAATTTACCAATTAACTGTCTGGTTTCTTCAACTTTCACCCAGGAGAAAAAAATCTGCCTTTAAACTTGAAAGAAATAATGATTTGACATTTATTGTGATAATTATCGATATCGACTGATATAAAAAACTTTTATATGAAAATATGTTTTTGGCCATATTGCCTAGCCCTAATTCTGGCTATTAAGTACATAACTGCAGAAACTTGAGAAAGACAAATAGAGGAAAATACTTGGTTGTTGCAAATTTCCAGATTTTTGAACCAGATAAAATGCAGAATGTTGCCCCCCTTTTCATAATGGTTTTTATATAGTTGAGATCACTACTCAACTATATAAATGACTACTGAGATGACAATGTACTGAAAAATATGCTGATTAAAACAAAGGCAAACTTGTCTAAGTTACAAAATTCACCTACTCTCCCTTTCACTACTATACGCACATAATGCTTTTAAACTTTACCTATGGAATCAGACACTACTGAAATGGACAGTATGCACCACAAATCTTACACCACCTATTAAATTGTGTGCTAAAAAATAATTATATTTGTATGGCAAAATATAGATGTTAAACAAACTGGAATTGCTGGTACTGTAACCCAGTTGATCAAGGACAACTAGTTAACAATAAGGGACTTGATCTGTAAATTAGAAAAACAGGAGCTGGAAGAGCTCAGGCCTGAGGTGCTCGGACTATAACATGACAAATATCCATACTTTTCTCCAGCCCCCTTCCCTGCCCTACATTGCGAAAAAACAGACTCTTTACCTCAGCGTGTGTTCTGCTGCTTCCACTTTGCTCAGCCCAGCTTGATGGGGCTGGAAGAAAAGCCTGTTCATGTTTGCCAGTTCTACCTTGTCATAGTCAAAGAGCAGCAGCTGCAATGGAAAACAAGAAAATAGGTGACTCACAGACTAATGCACCACTACCACAGAAATCAGAAATCTGTGCTTACAGGACACTACGTTCTCTAGCCCACGAACATTATGCGAACATGTTTTAAACTTAATATTTCATTCAAAATGTGTATGTTCAAACCGAAGACTCCTAAGGGTAGGTTAGAGTAATGGTCATCAAAAACTAAAGAAAAAAATGAAAAATGGCAATGGCAAAAGTTCTCAGACAAACTTGTAAGCTCAATAATTAGTGAAATTAGTCACAAGTCTTTTTAAGTAAGTACCACCTTTGCCCACTCTTCTTGGCAAATTGGCTCATGCTCTCTCTGGTTTCTTAGGATCCATTTATGGAACATCTTTCCTGTGTCAATAGAATTCAAGTTATGACTTTGACTGGGCCACTCAAGGACATTCACTTTCTTATTCCGAAGCCACTCTAGAGTTGCTTTGGAATTGTGTATTGGGCCAGTGTCCTACAGAAAACAGAATTCTTGTCCCTGTTTTTGGTCTGAATCAGGTTCTTTAAAATTTTCCAGTACTTTGCTCCAATCTACCTTCCCAGTACCTGCTGATGAGAAGCAGAACTATAACATAATACTGCCACCACCATTCTTGACAGTAGGGATGGTGTTAACTGAGTGATACTTTATGTTGGGTTTGCATCACATTTAACACTTTGCATTTTGTCCAACATGTTCAGATTTTGCAAAGGAACAAGTAATAGGCTTATTCCATGCTGAAAAGAGAAGAAAGAAAACACAACGTTTCGGCCGTGGAGCCTTCTTCATGTTCATATTTTGTCTTGTTAGACCACAAAACTATTTACCGTATGTTTGTAGTATCACTTAGGTGCTTAATTTCTAACTGGACTCGTCCTTGTCCAGCTGCTCAGGTTCGGGAGACAACTTGATCTACATAGTGTTTGAATGTATTCCACTTCTTATTGATTAATGTCACCGTGCTGAAAAAAAAACCATGCTGGTTTATACAGGTTTATCCCTGATTTGTTTTGAAAGCTTCTTTATCTTCATGGTTAATTCTCAGCTTCAGTTTCACTACCTGATTGAGGGATCAAAGATACAGGTAATTTCTTTTCTGAAATCATGTGAACCGCTACTATTGCACATAGAAACAACCTAACTGTTGCTCACTAAGATCATTTTATGCACCTTAATGATCAATTCTATAAAAATAATATGAATACTGAATTGTGCAAAACTGAAGTGTTCATAGAAGGGATAGACGTGGATTAATGGTTATGGATGTTCAGTTGATGAAATATTTTCTGTATTGACTCGTTCTATTGACTCTATTGCATTTGCAATGACTATCATCTCAACAAGGCATTGCTGGGCCCTCAGGCTTTTCCTAGGAACCGTATAGGGTACAGTCAGTGAACTTCTAAAATGAAAAACAAAATTCTGCATTACCTTACCAATGCCACATCTTGTGAGCATTTCTGCAGTCACACTTCCAACTCCGCCGACTCCAACCACGGCAACAGCAAAGGTGCGTATTTTCTGTAAGTTGTAAAAACATTTTAATCAATCATGAATGATCAACTTTGGCACAATTATGATTTAACAACAAGTAATAGATTAAGTGCTGAACTTACCTCATAATCTTCAACAATGCCCATTCGTTTTAAAGCCATGAGACGACTGCAAGACAGATGAAAGTAAAATAAAAAATAATGTATCAAACTACTTGAAAACTAGGGACTTATAACAGTTAATACCTACAGTAAATCACAATGGACTAATACTGAACAAAGCAACTTGAAAGAACAGAAACAGAACCTAACTCCCAGCACATAAGCAACAGAAAACCACTGGACTTCCAGGGAAATTACAGGGATTCCAATGATCACCATCAGGAGCAGCAACCCTGAGTTCCCACCAAGTTAGTTCCCTTTTAAATGGCTAACGTCTTACGCAAAGGGTTCAGGAGTCTGACCAGTCAGTGTTAAGAGAGCCCCAAACCCCAACACCCAAAGTGTAATAATAACAACAACCCCGGGATCTGGAGCACCCGGCCAATCATGAGGCCATTCTGCACATTGGCCTGGTTATCTATTAGCATGAAGGGCAGCTGAGATTCCCATTCCGGTTTATATACTGCAGTGAGAGTGGTAATGTTGTGGCCAGATTTCTGTTTAAGCTTTCCACCTGCCTGTCAGTTTTGACAATGCAGAGTGCTGCTCTTCCTCAGTCTTGGGAAGCCCCACGATTCAAAGCTTTTCCCCTATTGTGTGGAGCCTCATGATGAAGTAGTCCATGGTCACTAAGCTCCCTGTCTCTGTGCACATGAGGTGTTGGGAGTGGTGCACTGGATTGCCATGTGGAGCCTTTTTGAGCTAGACTGGTGTAACGGGTAGGGAAAACGTCTCGAGTGTTCAGGTGGCACTCCCCCATTAGAAGTAATGACACAGAGTCTTGGCAGTTCCAAACTACTTGCTCCAAGATGTCCCCTGTATGGCTCATGCTGCCGCCTTCCTCAGTGGCTGGGCCACAACAGCTGCCAGCATCGCGCTGCTATGGCTGATGTCTTCAAGTGTCAAAATGAAATCAGTTCTTTTAGGACCAGAAAGTTTCACAGTGCGACTGGGCAGTTCACCACCTCAGGGGTAGGAGATCCTCTCGGATGCCCACTTTCCACTTACAGTATCAAGCATCAGAGCAGGACCTCAGTGGGAAGAATGTCAGCAAGGGTGGCTTTAGGCTGCATCAAAAAGCTTCAGGTTTACGATGGCCTTGCTAAAGGTAATTTGTGTACATCAGCAAGACATCTAGATAGACAATAAAAGTTGACAGGGGCTCATGGCTTTAATCTAGTTCCATCAATCATTCAAAAGTAGCGAGAGTGTTGCTGACATCAAAGACAATCCATATCAATAGCCACATGCATCTTCCCTTGAAAAACTCCCAGGTAGGTTTCAGGTGCCAAGTCGACATGCCAATATCCACCACTCTGGTACATTAAGTTGAACCAAAACACAACTGGAGACCAGCGGCCAGTTAATTCCTCCATATGGTCATAGATCCAGATGAGTTTAGTTTGTTATTCTGCACACAATTTATAACACACAGGATTAAGGACAGACTACGCACCCCTCGTGGTGAATGTTAGTTTAAGAAGAGACGATCGAGAAGAAAGGTTCTGTAATAGGAGGAGAAATTAAATGTACAAGCTATGTAAAAGACAAGGACGAGATTTGTGATTTTTGTTAATAATGTGCACTATTGCTAACTACATTTATTACAATAATGTAGGATAATTAATTCTTAGGGAGGTAGGAGCGATAATATACAATGTTATAACATCGATGCTGAGCACTGTTTACCTGTATGGATTTGAGTCCACTACTTCTGCGCTCATCTTCTCAATCCTGGCTCTGGCTTGTGGCTCTTTACCGGTAGCATCACCCTCTGCACTTCGTCTCTGTTTACATTTAATCAACTCGTTTTCTAATTCCCTAACGCGAAGCTTTAGTTCTTCAACCGTAGACATATTTATTAATTAATCCCCAAATCCAAATATCACAAACAAGTTGTGCTTCTCAATATATCAATCTCCTGATTTGGACACGTCCGCACTGTAGAAATAACAACCGGCTACCTGAAACCGTCTCCCTTTTCTGTCCGACCAGCAACAAACCTCCGCAAGAAATGCTCCACCCTTACGTGAAATAAAGTAGAAGTTTCATTAAGGGCGACAATAAAAGTGTTCAAAACGTTATTTTTATGTTTTTAATCAATCAGATATTATAAAACAATTTGAGTGTTATTTGTCTCCTGATGTTGCTTAGATTTTCATTTAGAGTAAAAATTGAAATATAAACACTATTTATATTTTAATTACTTCTCTGAAGTCTTTGTTTTAATAACAACAAATACATTTTCATTGTAAAGTATAAATATATTGTACATTTGTCTACATAGGTTATCTTGCAAGTAACTTTATATAACACTAAAAAGGAACTCCCCGTTTTGTTATTCGTGTTTACCCGAATTGTATATGCGGACGTACGTGAACTCTGGACTTTGGACATGCGATATATCGTTCGTCTTTCCAATTAGGAGAAAACAACTTTATCTTTTTAAGCTAAACATGGAAGAAGAAATAACTGTTGTCCGAGAACAGCACCGTTTCAATGTCGGGGCCTTGCAAAAGTATTTATGTGACAATATACAGGGGATTTCAACTAACAATACTATTACTGTCAGGCAATACAAGTAAGTTTAACATTCTATATCAATTGAAATTGTACCAGTTATAATTTGTTTTAAAGATTGACATCTAATTTAATTCCTTGTTATTCATTTGTATTTTTTATTTGTAGTTTATATGAATATTTTTTTAAAAATCATGTTTTCGGAGTTGCACTGAACTAGCAACTCTTGTCGCTCAAGTTATTTTAACAAAACTGTCTCTAAAATACGTTGTTGCTAACTGGAAACGAATTCAAGTTTTCTGGTAGGGTTGACGATTGAGGTGACAATGAGTGTGCACTTTGCAATCAATAGGCTTACTGTAAATCTTTCTTACAGATCAGGGCAGTCCAACCCTACATTTCTTCTGGAGACAACGAATAAGAATTACGTTCTGAGGAAAAAACCTCCAGGACAACTCCTGCCAGGGGCACATAAGGTACAATACGTGAACATTCACTGACCAAACTGTCAGTACTGTCCCTTGCACTAAATGTGCACAGTACTTACATATTTTTCATAAAGATGCA